GTTTGGCAGGTTAAAAACTTAACCATACACCTACCATAAAATGCAACCATTCCTCTCCTATTTACCCAAGAGAAAGGTGAGCACGTGTCCATGCAAAGGCTGTACAGAAATACTCCTTGCCACTTTTTTCATGGTAGGCCAAATGTCCATCAACAGGCAAATAAACAAACGGCTGTGGTATACCCATACAAAAGTCAAGACTAACCAAATTGAGCACTTTAAATATGTGCAGTTTACTGTATGTTAATTACACCCTGATTAACTGTTACAGTTTGGAAGAAACTAATGAAAAATAACAACTAAATGCAATGTAGGACTCTAGGTGGGATTCTGGAAACAACAGAAACATTAGTGTTAAAACTGGTGAAATTCAAATAAAGTCTGTGCTTTAGTTACTATTATGCCAATGTTAATTTCTTGTTTTTGATAATTTTACTATGGTCATACAGAAGATGTTAACATCAGAGGAAGCTGGGGCAGAGGGATGTAGAAACTCTGCACTATCATTGCAACTTTTCTGTAAGTCTAAAATTAGTTCAAAATACCAAGTTAAAAATGTATGCAATAAAACTACTTGAAAAACCTGCTTTACCATATAGGGTAAATACATTTTCAAAGATATCTATTGTCTATCACATTACTCACAGCCACTGTCACCATAGAGAAAGCCAGCAAACTAGGAATGCTTGCCTTTTGTAAGAAAAACCTGTGAAACAACTTTAAATCAGGCAGTTCTTTTAAGTGCTTTGCCGTGAGGTCCCAGTGAACTTCTGCATGTTACAAAAGTCATGCATGCTGAGAGGGGACATCCACCTGTAATAGTGGAAGGTTCTCCGGCCACCATGGAAGGCTTCCTTGCGTGGAAGGTTGGACGGGCCATGGACTTAATCCCCTTCAGGAGCTGCCCTGAGCTTTGACTAATGGAAGTTGGAGTGTAGACCCCTAGCTCCCTCACCCTTGCTTCCGTGCACTTTAGGTGTAGTTTTACACTGGCTTCTAGTTTTTCCAGTGCAATTAAACTCCAGTTGCCCACAGTGATAACCTGTTGATAATGCAGACTTCATTGGCTATTACCCCTTCTCCAGCCCCCTACTGGCATTTTCTTCACCTCCCAAATAATCTACTTGCACTCAAATCCTTGTCTCAGGGTCTGCTTCTAGGGAAACCCAAACCAAAACAAACACTAATATTTTTTCCAGCAACCCAGTGTGTCAACTTGCCCACCCCTGGTGTGGACATCTCACTTTGGGGACCACTGCTCTACCCCACACCAATAACTCCATGTCTGTCCAGCCTCTCCCTGCACACCTTCAACACTGATAGATTATTCAGTTTAGAGCTCAAGCCCCAACTTACCAGGGAGCTCTCAGGCGCCAGCCCAGATAGTAGGTGCTTGTATTAGAAAAACCCAATCTTTCCTCCTCTATATCTCCTTTACTGTCACACAGAACCCTCATACTTCTGACACCAGATGTGTGTGAGATTTTTCCTATACCAAGCAATTCTCTGCAACATGTGCTGGGTGTCCTATAATTGAACTCAGTTCTGACACTATCCACCTGGAGATAGTGTCAGATCCCACAGGTTAAGGACTCAGTCCCACAAAGCTGCCCCTGACTTCAAATGCTGATTGCAAGTAGTAGGCCCCCAAGTTACCCACAGCTTCTATTGCCAATTAACTTGGCAATTAATTGGAGGTTCCCATGACCTACTCCCCCTTGGATCCCATTACTTGCTAGAGTGGCTCACAGAACTCAGGGAAACACATTTACCAGTTTATTAAAGGATATGATAAAGGATACAGATGAACAACCAGATGAAGAGATTAACAGGGCATGGTCTGGGAGGGTTCTGAGCGCAGGGCTTCTGTTCCTATGGAGTTGTAATGTGTCCCCCTCCAAGTATGTAGGTGTATTCACCAACCCAAAAGCTCTCCAAACCCCATAATATTGGGACTTTTATGGCAGCTTCTTCATGTAGGTATGATCAAGTATTTATTTCATTTCCAGCCCCTCTCCCCTCCCTGGAGGATGGGGGTAATGTGGCGGCTGAAAGTTCCCAGCTTCTAATCATGGCTTGGTCTTTCTGGTGACCAGCCCCCATCCAAGAGCCAGAGTCGCCTCACTAGAACAAGACATATATATAGACACACACACACATACATATATATATTTTTTTTTTTTCTATTTCCTCTCAATGCCCCATTTTTCCCCTTTGTCATTCCTTGGATCTGCCCCCTAGAGAACTCTATGGGGAGGAGGGGTGATGGGCAGAGCAGGATTCAGCTATTTCTGGGTTCCTTGGCTCAACTATCTTCAAACCATCTGTCATCAGCAGTTCAGACTGCTATAATAAATTACCGTAGATTGGGTGCCTTATACAACAAACATTCATTTCACATGCTTCTGGAGGCTGGGAAGTCCAAGATCAAGGTACGGGAAGATCTAATGAGAGCCTTCATCTTGGTGGGCAGATGGACATCTTGTACCCTCACACAGAGAGGGCTGGCTGTCTCATGTCTCTTCTCAGGACACTACTTCCATCACAAGGGCTCCACCCTCATGATCTAAGTACCTCCAATGGCCCTGTCTCCCAATACCACAACATTAGGACATCAACAAACAAATTTGGGAGGGGACAGGACACAAATATTCAGTTCATAGCACCATCAAAATACCACCCCCTAGACCTCAACAAAGCCTCCCTATCTTTCTCCAGGTAGCATGCCAGGCGGTCACCTGCAATGATTAGAGTGGTCCTGCAGGATGAAACCTGCGGGCCATCTTAACACCAGGACATAACTAAAAAGTGTATTTTTGAAATACATCTACAGTTAACTTATGCAGTGGCTGTGTGTGTAATTTTTCTTATATAAGCCAAATTTGGAAAACCAGTTGTTGCAACTCTGGCATGAGTGTTGGTGTCTAGACACCACCCACCCGGGCTGAGGGTCTGGTTGGGCAAGATGGGCTGCTGAACAAACTGCTCTGGGTCAAAGCAGAACCCTCTGCTGACCCCCGAAGTCTTCCTTCCTGGGCTGCGTTCATATAGAGAACCCTCACCCCCCACTACATGTGGGGCTCAGCCAAGGGTCTCGTTTCACTGTTTCTGTATCGGGAGCTCCCATCTCAGCTGGCTCCAGCCAAGAATCTAGAAGCATTTTAGTGTCTTAAGACTAGATGATAGCCTGCATCTTTGTTTAAACCATTAGTCATTTCAGTGTGCCCTTCAGGCAGGTACTCGATGTTTCTCGAGCTTCACTTTCCTCATCTGTAAAATGGGGATAAAAACTGACCTGCTTTTGTTATAGGACTGAGGATTCAAGAAGATACTGTTGTGTGCTATTCAAATGTAAGGTGATATTTAAGGCTTAAACTACAAAATCTGTTTCAAGGAACATGAAGAAGTCCTGACTGGGGAAACTGAACTAGAAAAGGAATTTCCTAAAGGGTTCCTCTCAAATGATTTTAGGACGGAACCCCTACATCACACACATTTTAGGGAAATGTCCATCATGTATAGCTATGTATTTGCATAAAACTTTATTGCACTAAATTCAAGTCCTATCTCTGTTCATGTAAGCCTGACAAACTGTAGCAATTAGGGTGAGTTAAACTGCTCTAACAAATCATCCCAGATATGCAATGACTCAGCTACAGTAAAAGTTTATTTCTTGTTCCCTTAACAGACCGAGCCAGAGTTCAGGTTGATAGGCAGTTCTCTCTACAGTGATTCAGGGATCCAGCCTCCTTCCAATTTGTGATTCTGCCACCATCTATGGCCTGGTTACCATCTGCATCGAAATAATAGAAGGGGAAAGAGCCACATAGGAAATTTTTACCACTTCTGTTCACATGGAGAACTCTGACACAAAGATACACTTGGATGGTCAGGGAGCCTGGGAAACGTAGTCCAGCAGTGTGCTCAAAGAAGGGAGGAATGGGTTTTACTGGACAGTCAGTGGTGGGAAAATAGCTCAATAGGATTAACTCATTTGCCAAAAGCTAGGTCATCCAAGTGACAAAGCCAGACCTGCAGCCCAGAGCTTCCAACAGTCATGTCTGGTGCCTTAAAGAGCCCAGACCCACCCCGACCCGACACCACCACCTCTCACCTGAGCTCTTCTACTGCTCTCCACCTTGCAGATACAGGAATATTATGAACACCTATGCCAGATCATTGTGACGACGAGAGAAATTAAAAAACTGGGCAGAAAATCACCCCCAGCCCCGCTGCCCTAATACACCTGTCACCTGCCTACCCCACACCATGTTTCAGAGCTCACTCCTGGGCGCACAGGTTCAGGGAGAAGCTGGCTTGTTAAGTGGCAGAGCCAGCACTTGAGCCAGGTCTGCCTCTACATTGTGGTCCCCCAAAGCAAGAAACTACAGAGGCTACTTTCCAGGTCACACTTTAATTTTTACAGAAGCAGTGGCCACACAGCCACAGGGATACAAAGTATTCCAGACAGTAGGCACAGCGCCTGCAGCTGCAACAGCCTGCTGGGGGAACCATGCCTTTCTCCACGGTCCCTTTGATTAAGGAAAAAGTCAAAAATCACACACCGTACACTGCCACACCCACTCCCCCCCAACTCCCTTCCCTTTTAGTAATAGCCGATTAAATTATGCGTCCTTCCAGCCAAAGAAACTGGCTACAATCCCAATTTCACAGAAAACCATGCAGCCAAGAAACTCGGGGCTCTGGAGGGGACAGGCCTCTTCCTGTACTTTCCACACGCACTGGCCTCTATGCATCCCCACTCCCCACACCATGTGCTAAGTTTAATTCCACCTGAAACCACCACTTGGACGGAGAGTGACAAGACTGGCTACAGGAAAGAGCTGGTAACTCAGCTCAGCATGCTTGGAAGACTGTCCCTTTCCAGGCAAGATATTACTGAAGCAAAAGACTAACCTGAGGCTGGTGTGACCCCAAGACCCTCCCTTCCAAGCCCCAGGTTCCAGGTGAAGCGCAGGATTTTGGTTTCTGGGACTGAGGACAACAGAGGCTGCTGGCATCTCTGGCCACACTCCTGGAGGCCCAGGGATGGAGGCCCCACTGGGACACCATGGGCCTTATCTGTTGGGCTAGTCTAGCTCGGGTTAACCGTTCCTCTACAGCAAGCAGGATCATCAGCTTAGTGCCGAGCAAGAAGCACATGGGCCCACTAGGAGAGCTTACGCCAGAATTCACATGCTTTGCATTCAAGGGAGAGAATGAGGTTTCTTATTTTTTCTTATGCCCCCTCCAGAGGCCAAATGGGTAAGAGTGGTTCCTCTGCCTTCTGAGTGCCCTGAATGTGCCAGGCTGCCTAGGCTCACGGGGAGACACCACAGTGGGCCGAGCCCAGGGCGGGGATGGGAAGCCTCGTCAGCCAGAGCGGGAATCTGTGAGGACTGTAGCAACCTGCAGTGCCAAGTCTGACGCCTCCTTCCAGACCACAGGTGCGCCTTTCTGAAAATGAGATAAGAGCTGGCCCTGGCTTGACCTTAAATGACAAACAATGCCCAAGTGTCCACTGGCATCATTTATGTTCCCTCTGACTTTTCCACACAAACAAGGCTTTTCATGGGTTTTGCAACCCTGGTGTCTAAGACAGCTGTGCACTTCTAAGGCAGAAGGGCCTTGGATTGCCCTGTTCACACTGATGTGACAGATGAGGAAACTGTAGTTCAGACGGACAAATGACTTGCCCATGGGTGGACAATACAGCAGGGACTGAAACCTAGGCCTCCTGGCTCCCGGGGCAGGGATCCCTCTCTCTTTCTGAATGTCACTGCCTGTCACAGCTCACTTAACTCACTTAATCCCAGCTTCCTTACACAACAATTCTGATTCTGGGTTCTCAGCTGAGGCTGGGCAGTTCTTGAGATGGAGTTGCATAAACAACCAAGCTTTAACGGGTGGGCAGGGACCTAGGAAGCTTCCCTTCCCTCTGGAACGGAAATGGAGCGAACTTTTCTCTGAGTTTAGGATTTATAAGGCACTAAAATTAACTACAGCTGAGGGTGGGGGGAGAAAGAAAAAACAGGGGGATGAGTGGTGAGAAATCAAGTCGATGTTCTTTTCTTCAGCCCCGCGGTCAGCAGTGAGGATCCTCACGAAACCTTTAAGAACGGTGGGCTCCATTTCCCTGCTTGGTGTGGTCCACCCCCCTGACTCCCACCCCCACTGCGGAGCAGAGGACACACCCAACCACATACAACAAGGCAGGTCTTGGGGACAATAGGCATCGAGGGTGAAGAGCCAAGGAGCCCAGGTCTTCTGGATTCAATTCAGAGCAGAAACCACTCACTCTACCTGGGCAGGTGTCCCAGACCTAGGCAGGGACAGAAGTCAACCCTGAAGTGTCCTCTCCAAGGATTTGATCCTCTCTGATAGACTCAGGCAATGGCCGCGGGGAGCCCACAGGCCTGAGCGTGAAGGAGGAAGGGGTAGGACACCACCAAGGACGACAGAGAGAACTTTGGAATTGGACCTGGCTTTGGCACAGCATATCTTGGGCCTGCCCACCCCATCTGCTGCCCTCCCGAGACCCCAGGGATGAAGAGGAACCTTCCTTCCTTCTCTCCATGAGGAGCTCCTCTGGCTGTCGGGCAATGGCAGCACAAGCCCAGGGCACCCTCTTCATTCCAGCCAAACCTGAGCCCAGCTGACCTAACACAGAGCCTTACCGGACTCAACTGCTGAGTCCCAAGCACCATAGTCAGATGTGTTGCTGAGCAGGAAGCCATGATGACAGCCAACAGGCAGATAGCATTACTCCTCTTTCAACAGAAGAGGAGCCGGGCTCAGAGGGGTTGAGTGACCGCCCAGAGTCACAGAGCTAATGAGTGGCTGAACTGGGAAGTGGACTCTGGTTTCTCTGACTCCAAATCCCACGTCCTTCCCACCACACCTGGCTGCCCCGGAAGCTGGGAGCAAGCCAGTGGGGCTGTCTGGGCGGGATTCCTGGAGGGGTTTCTTTCTGAAAGTGTGGATCTGGCAGAGCAGCTAAGCTTGAGAGCAGGGAGGATGCCTCCTGGCCCTGGGGACCAGGTGCGCCCGCGGGCCCACCCCCTTCCAGGCGAGCTCGGCTCAGTGCCTGGCCGCCTTGCAGATCTTGTCGTACACCTCGGGAAAGGCATCTTGGCAGCCGAGCTGCTTCCGCAGCCTGTGGTACAGGGAGCCGTCGAACATCTCCCAGAACTCCTCCCGGTCCATGTAGCAGTCGGCATACAGCATCTGGAACCTGCGGAGCAGACCCAGGGGTGAGGACTCAGGGGTGGGGGTCAGAGGGGCAGAGAGGCGAAAGGGACGCAGAGGACCCCAACTGTCCCTAACACAGCCCTAAAACGCTGCATGCTCTGCAGGGCAGGACACGCTTTTGGAAGACTTCTCTCAGTCTCCCTAACTAGCGAGTGGCTGAGGTTGGCGCAGGAATTCTTATTCCCATTTGCAGATGGGGAATCTGGGCTTGGGGTGCCGAGTGGCAGCAGAGGCAGAGTCAGGAGGAGAACGTGGTGCACGACATGCCTGCCTCCCTGATGGGGTCACCAGGCTGCTTTCTTTCCCTTTTTTGACATTCAGTAAACTGCACATATGGAAAATGTACAACTTCCTAAGTTTGACATACATATAAAACCTTGAAACAGTTACCTTGATGTAATAACAGCCATATCCATCACCCCCAAACTTTCCTAATGCCCTTAAGTCCCCTGTGTTATCCATCACCCTCTGCCATCCCAGGTAGACCTGCCTTCTGCCACCAGAGATTCATCTGCATTTCCCAGAATTTTATGTAAATGGAATACATACATATATATAATCATACAGTACTCTTTTTTTCCTGGCTCCTTTCTGTCAGCATAATTATTTTGAGATTTGCCCACATTATGCACATCAGTTTTTTCCAGGACACTTTCTCAGCAATGCTCTGTCCAGGGCGTCTGTGTGGCTTTTGTGGTCGTGAATCCCTCCCTCCTCAGCTTTGGTCTCCCACCTGCAGTGGGAACTCCTGAACAAGTCTGAACCACCCCTATTGCCTGCCCTGGGGTGGGGAGCAGGCTGACCCTGGGTTTCTGGCTCAGGCAGCTGGGGGACTGTGAATGTGCTCCCTGGAGGAGGAACAGCAGGGTGTGGGAAGAGGATGGGAAAGGATTCCTGCAATTCCACCTCCACAGAATCTCTCCCAGCTCCCTCCTGAATCAGTGTTGTCGCTCAGCGCCTGCAGGTCTGGCTGTGGAGCTAGCCGCCTTGGCCTTCCCCACATCACCCCCAGAGCAGTGCTTGGGGGCCTGCGGCCCCACCCTGGGTTCTCACTCACCCATGCACACTTCGGACGAATTTCTCCAACTGCCTCATGCAGGACCTGGCTTCAAAGTGTTTCACACGCGGCTCACCGTAGGCACCAATGTCAACATAGAGCTCGGTCTCGTCTCCCTTGGGGTGCACCAGGCCGGGCTGGCTGGGAAGGATGAACGGGCACAGCCATATGGGGTAGACCTGAAGGACCAGAGAAGCCGCGTTGGTGCTTTTCCTCCAGCAGGTGGCAGGCTTGCGGCTGGTCCATCGGCACCCACCCCAAGGCAGGCTCTGCAGAGCTCTCCTCGCCCACGCGCTGCTGCTCAGTCACCCCACCCCCAAGCCCTGGCTGAGTGCCCTCCCGGCTCACGTGGATGTCGCTGTGGAAGGTCTGCAGAGCTTGAGGCAGGCACTTCATGGGCACCAGCATGTCCTGCACCACGTGGTGCTGCTCGTACAGCTTGCGCAGCGTCTCGCCCTGGGTCAGCTTCAGGAGGGAGATCTTGGGAGGCACCATCCAACCAAAGAGGTAGCGAAAGATGGGATTGTTGCCAAAGGGGATGATGTCCTGAAAGACAAAGGATGGGGATTGAGAGGAGGAACCCAGCAGGGCTGAGTGTCCCCACGTGCCAGGAACAGGGGCCTCCTTCGGTGTTTGACAGAAGTACGATGGGGTCCACTCCCATCTGGAGGGGTGTGGGGGTACCCAAGACTTTATCCAGTCAGCTCTGGGTTTGATTCTCAGCTCTGGCATATACCAGCTGTGATGTCCTTGGGCTGGTGACTTAACCTCTCTGAGCTCAGTTTCCTTATCTGTAAAATGGAACTTGTGGGAATGGTGAGATGCCAAAAAGAAGGCACTCAGCCCAGTGCTTGGAACAAAATAACAAGGTAGCTATCCTTGTGGTCTAGTTGTTGAGGTCAGTGGGGCTGGCACAGAGCAGGCATTCCATAAATGTTTGAGAGATAAATGCTGCTGAATGAGAAGAGGGATACTCAGAGAGCGTAAGCAATTCCCCAAAGGTCACAGAGCCAAGGATGGCTCCACTGAGGTGGGGAAGGTCTGGCTCAGGTTCAACAATGAGCCCTTTGGTTTACAGCATCTGCTGAGAGGCCTTCTCTGATGCTCCTATTTAAAATGTCACTGCTCCCTATTCCTCTATACACAGAGCAGAAAATTCTTGCCTATCTGTTAAGGCCAAGTTTGATGCTACCTCCAACCGTAGGTTGAACTAGCCACTTCCTCTTCTTGTTCCTGTGGTCCTTCACAGGGCCACCCTGCCCAAGTCAGCCTCCCAGGAAACCCCCTGAGCAGGGCTGTGAGCAGGGCTTCCTCTTCCACGCCTCCCACTGCCAGGAGGGAGCAGCCCCCACTCTCAATCTTCCTCCCTGCTCCTAGTCTGCCATCTTCCTGAGAGGTACCAGCGTCCACCTGATACCCCATCCTTACAGCTCCTGGGCCCTCAAAAGTCAAGGACATTCCTTCATTCATTAGACAATTACAAGGGGCCTGTGAGCTCAGGAGCCAGGTTCTGTGCTGGGGATACCCACATAACTGAGATGTGGTCCCCAGCCTCAGGTGTGGAAGAGTGGGGCCACAGGACCACGGTGTGGGAAGAGCTGAGACAGAGATGCAGAGGCAGCTCATAAAAGGGGCCACATCAGACTAGGGTCAGGAGTGGCTTCTCAAAGAAGCCACCATGCTAAGCTTCGGAGGCTGTGTGCTCCTCCATTCCACTCCCCTGGAATCGCCTCCTCTGATCGCCAGCCCACTCCATGAGGGAGGCAGGTCGGGGTCTGTCTGCTGTCTCTTCTGTTAGATCCTGGCTCCTACATCAATGCCTGGCACACAACAGGAGCTCAGTAAATAGCTTGGCTTTTATTGTTCCCTTGGTTGTCTTTGGAAAAGCCACATATGTCCATAGCGGAAATCCCAACAATACAAACTTGTGTGACTCAGTTTGTTGTGATAGTCACTTTATTGCTGTGGGTTTGGAACCCAACGCGCTGTATCTCTCAGGTCTGCCTGTACTGCAGGGATCCTCCAACTAGGGCTCCTGGCCCACACTCTGGTTTTGTAAATGAAAGTTTTATTGGAACACATCCATGCCCATTCATTTACATAGTGCCTATGGCTGTTTTCAGGCTTCAAGGGCAGAGGAGTTCCTAGTGAGGCCCCATGGTCCACAAAACCTCAACTATCACATGACCCTTTACAGACAATGTTTGCTGACCTCTGCTCTGCTGTATGGATATACCCTAATTATTTAGTGTTCTGCACGGATGGGCATTTAGATTATTTCCATACTATTCATTTCAAAGACTGTCTTTTGCATACATGTCTTTGACCATTTATGCCTACATTTATCTATAAGATAAATTCCTATAAGTGGAAAATTCTGGCTTAAACAGTGTGTGCAATTTTAATGGATACTATTCCAAGTGCTTAGACCATTTTATATTCTCGCAAACAACACAGGACAACACCGTTTCCCCAACCCTCACCAATCAGCACAGTGTGTATCAAACTTCTGCATCTCTGTCATTCTAAGAAGTGAAAATTGAGACTTGTGTAGTTTTATTTCACCTGTTGTTGGTTCTAAATGAGACTGCATTTCCTTATGTTTAAAAGCCACTTGCATTTTTTTCCCCTAAAAACAGTCCACTGTTAGCCACAAGTATCAGCTGGAACCATTCTTTTTCCAAAGTGTCAACCTCAAAAAGTTTTAAACACCGCCCTGCCTTTCTGCTTTCCTGTCTTTGTCTACCCCATTATTCATCCTTCTGCGTCTGAGTGACCTCGGGTCCCACGTCCCTGGCTTCACTTCTGGTCCTCCCGGCCAGCGCGCTAAGGTCAGTTACTCTAGGGATCATCATGGCAGCCCCTCCGCTCTTCGGGCCCCTGCTCTCTGGCTGCCCTTGGCCTTTACCTGTGTGCAGCCTGCTGCCAGCCTCCTCTGCTCTGCTGGGCTGCAGGGCCTCCTTCAGGTCCAAGGGGTTCAGCCTGAGCCAGGACCCCCAACCCTAGAGGCAGGCCCTGGGACAACAGCATTCTAAGAAACATGAACAACCAAGGACCTACCTCTCCTTTCTTACTAGTATTACTGCCCTGTGTTAGCCAACCACTTATACAGGCAGAAGATGGTGACATAAAAGGGAAGGGGAAGACAGGGCTGCCTGGAGTCCCTTTTCTAAGAAAGTCCTTCCTTATTTACCAGTAAGCCCAGGCAGGGTGTGTGTAAAATGTGAATGTTATCAGGAAGGGAAGTAAAAACAGGTGAGTTAGTTTTGTGCAGCATTTCCAGTGGCCTGTTAAGAATGACTACATATGCATGAAGAGTTAAACACTCGTAGGGGATGAGGGTATAGCTCAGCGGTAGGGTACATGCTTCACATGCACAAGGTACTGGGTTCAAGTCCCAGTACCTCCGGTAATAAATAAACAAACCTAATTACCACCAGCTCCAACCAAAAAAGAGTTAAACACTCTAATACTGAGTTTAAAAGATGATAGTAAAACTCTTGCTAATAATTTAAATTCAAAATTTTTCTTTACTTAGAACAAAATTTAGTAGCAAATATTTTTGATAGGAGGGACCATGAAGAAAGGAGAAACCTTTAGGATTTAGTATCTCTGACAGCAATTTTTTCCTGCTTTTTGCCCTGGGCCCTGCAAGTTATATAGCCAGCTGGCCCTGGCCCCGAGTCCTGCTGACTGACCAAACTGGGCTTGGGGGCAGGACTGCAGAAGTAAGGCTTGGCCCATGTAGAATGAGGATGGGATGGACTGTGGACCAGAATGTGGCTTTTTAAGAGGTTCAGCATCCAGGCCATGTCACATTGGTTCACTGAAGGGCCCAGTGGGGCAGAGGGACCTGGGAGAGGGCTGCCAATGAAAGGAGAAGGCTTTGACCCCAGCACTTAAAAAAGCACTTGAAAAAGGCATGCACTTGAAATGATTACTCCTTCTTTCTAGAAGCATCTTGGCTTCTGCAATTCTATATAGCAGATGCTGTGCTGCTGCACTCAGATGCCCTGTTGAGGGAGGCACCCATCCCCTCCAGCTGTAGGATGTTGGCTGCTGACACTCACAGCTAAACCTCTCTCTGGGGCATTGCCCTTGGCAGAAAGGGAGCTTCACCTCCAAGGTGAGGCCACTTCTCCGAGGGCAGTCCAACAGCTGGTCCATGGGGTGGGGGTATAAAGTCCCAGCCCCCTGGCCTCAAGGTGGGACAGCTCTGAAGGGCCACCCAACGCCAGAGCTCCCTATGGGTTGGCTGAAGTCTTTGCTGTGACTGCCTCACACCTCAACTTTTCCCTCTGCTGGATCTTGCTTCTCCTTTTCTTGCAGCTGAAGATCACCAGAGTTCTCCCAAATAAACTTCCTGTGTGCAAATCTTGGGCACAGAACACCTAACCTTCCAGATTCTTCCTTTAACTTCAGGCAGTACAGGCTGGTGTTTAACAGCACAAAATATAAAGTGAACCTCATTTTGAAACCCAGCTCTGTGGTTTTAAAAACTGCCCAGTTCCTTGCTATTCCTGTCTTCTCCCACCTTGGGCCGGACTTGGGCCAGACTTGGTGACTCTGTTCTAACACAGAGCATATGGCGGGAGTGGCGGGGAGAGGACACGGGGTCAGTCTTCCCCCTGAGGAGTGCAGTGAGGACTCCCCCTTGGATCACCTGTTCTGGGGAAAGCCAGCTGCCTGTGGTGAGGACAGGTGAGCAGCCCATGTGGCAAGGGACTAAGACCTCTTGTCAAAAGCTGTGTGAGCGAGCCTTCCAGGAGGCAGACCCTCCAGTCCCAAGACCAGCCCCACCTGACACCTTGATTGCAGCTTTGAACCAGAGCTGCCCGCAGTATCACTTTTCAACCTGACCCTCAAAATTGTAAAATAACAGGTGTCAGTTGTTCTAATCCTCTAAATGTGGGGTTAATTCATTACACAGCAAAAGACAATCAACATACTCTATTCCTTACTGAGTTGTTACTCTGGATAACCTAAACCAGTTTCTTAACCTGTGAGACGGAGACGACACTAGGACCTACCCTCAGAGGGTCGTTAGGAAGACTGAGAGAATGCACGTAAAGTGTTCACGTACCAACTAGCACGTAAGGAAGGATTAATGGTACCTACTGGGGTTATCTTTCTGATGCGCACTCAGCGTACTCTGTGGTCTCCTCTTTCTTTTCCTGTCTCTTAAATATCTCTCTTCGTGACAAAACCACACCTCCCAAAACCTTAACACTACTCTTGGCAGGGACGAAGAAAGACTTGAGGTCCTTTGGTGAAACTTTCCATCAACTTCTCTGTGCCTGAAAACTGCCCAAAGTAGCAGTAAAGGGGACGGTGGAACCTCAGAGCTCCCCGGACCTTGATGAACCCTCCACTCCCTCCTCCTCCACCCCTTACCACTGTCCTCTCACGCTCTGCCTGAGAGACCTAGCACATGATTAGAACTGACCCGACACCTCCTCCTAGGAGACTACCGGGGGTAACTGCTTCATGTCTGACATCCCTATTTATCTTAATCACCACGGACTTCTAGGTGCCTGCTACTAGCACCCTTAATGCTCCAGCAATGCAACATCCTTTAATCTGACCCCTCTGGCTGCTGTCCTCCAATCTCCCAAACCTCTCCCCTGTGCTCTCTCATGGTCCAACAAAGCCCCTCCATCCTCAAGCTCTCCTCTCTCTTAGCCTTGCTCCTAGCTGGCCCCTGCAGCCCTCTGAGGTGGTATCACTTTCTCTCCGTGCCCCTCTGGGGTCAGTGGAGGGGAAGTGGGCTCCTCCTGGCCCCTCATTTCTGCTTCTAGATCTCTGCTCCTCTCTTTCTCTGAAAACCTCCAGCAACTCTGCAGCACACACCCCATTACCTCCCCGCATTCTCAGATCACTGCCACCTTCAACACAGACCTTATCACTGACGTGATTTAACATCTACAGAGATGACTTTGGTGAGGGGCACATGTAGTCAGGCACACAGCTCGGTCGAAGGTTGCTGCTAATTATGAGGAACAGATGTCTCACTTAATGGTTTTAGTGCTTTCCTAAGTGGGGAATGTGCAAGGATTTGGGTTCATAAAATATTCTCCTAAAAATATCTAAGTATCTGAAGACCTGTTCTGCCAGCTTTCCCAGAGCACAGGGCACCTCCTTCCTCACTGTTGACATGAATTTCTCTCAGGGAGTGTGGGAGGTCAGGTACTGCGGTGGCTGACGACTTCAGCCTTGCAGAACTGGATGCTGGGCCACATGCTTCAGTTGGAATCTCCATAGTTTCAATTCCGAGCATTTGCCTTTGACCACCACCAACTCTCCTGCTGCTCAGGCCCTCTGGTGCTCTGACTTCAATTCTTCACTCCAAGGGGCACCCAAGTCACCATATCAGTTCCTTCAGCCCCGAGAGCCTCACACAGCCTCACTGCCCACCCAATCTGGCTCAGATTTCCTCACGATCATGTCCCAACTCCTCCCACCCTGCCCCACTTGTCATAATCATCTGAAAAACCTCCACCGTGGTTAAATCTAACCTTCTCCCTATTCTGTGCCCCGTCCACACAGCTGAACGTGTGAAAACCCACACAACCACCAAGGCCAAGCTCAATGTAAATTCTTGACCATGAACCCTCAGGGGCCCGGTGCTGCCCAGCAATCCCGCAGTGTTTCCCTAGTTAATCTGCTTCCCGCTCTCAAGAGACAATTTCATATCTCCTCTCTCCTCCGTCCTTCAACAACCCCTCACCTCCTCATCTCGGCTGAAACCCTCACTTCCTACTTCATTGAGAAAATAGAAGCAATTGAAGAGAACACACTCCCACACACTCCCACCACCAAATGGTCCTCCTGTTTGTAGCAACTGTACCATGAACACTTCCTCCCTCCCGTCCAGTGGGTGAATTTCCATGCTCTCGCCTGCAGGTGTCCTCTCCACCCGAGCGCAGGATGCACCCATGTTCCTCAAGTGTACCCCCCATGCACCCCTCTCTCCTGCATCATCGTACATCCATATGCTGTCAACTCTCCCTTCTTAAAAGTCACCCAAAATATCTTCTCTCCATCCTATCTCCCCCTCCAGCTACCACCCTATTTCTCTGCTGTCCTTTATACAGAGCCTTCTCAGATTTTCATCTCCACTCCGGCATCTACGTTCTCTCTTGAGTCCACTGATCAGGCTTTCAGCCCCATGGCTCCAGGTCATCAGTGACCCTCCCACAACCAAGACTAGTGGTCGGTTCTCACTCAGGGGCACTGGACACAGTTGTTCATCTTCCTTCTTGACACACTGTCCTCACGTGGCTCCTGGGATGACAGCTCTCCTGGGTTTCCTCTCCCCTCTAACTGATGGAGGCCTTTTCATCTCCTGGGCTGGCTTCTCCTTTCCTAATCCACAGGGCTTGGCTCAGGGACATCTCTTCTCCAACCTCTCTCCCTCGTCTAGTCCCAAGGCCTTAATTAACATTTTTCTGCTGATGATACCCCAGCAGTATGTGTTCCCTCCAACTTTGCCCCAAAGTCCTGACATACCAGTGAGTCAGCTGCCTACCTGACATCCCACCTGGATGCCTGAAGACATCTCATGCTGACAGGTCCCAGACCAAACTTTTGATTTTCCTTCCCAGACCCCTCCCCCATGCTGCGCATGGCAATCAATGGCACCTCGGGTCACCCAGCTGCTCAGGCCCCGTACCTGGCGAGTCATATCCATGGCCAATCTGTTCAGAAATCCTGTTGGTTGATTCAACCCTCACAGTATCTCCCAGATCAGAGACTTCTTTCCTCCTCCATGGCTCCCACTCTGGACAGTAGAAATCTTCTTTCTTCTAGTCCTGCACTCTTTTTGTTTGTTTGTTTATTTTATGAGGGGGAGGTAATTAGATTTATTTATATTTGGAGGAGGGACTGGGGATTGAACCCAGGACCCCGTGTATGCTTCCACTCTTGCCCCATCTACTCTCCATCTACTCTCCATGTCAAAATTATTCTTTTAAAACAAAAATCAGGTCATGTCACTTTTCTGCACAAAGCCCTCCACTGGCTTCTTTATCACAAACTAAAATATAAAGTCCTCCTTTGACATACAAGAACCCACATGATCTGGGCTCTGGCTGCTGTTTGACCTCATTCCCCACCACCTGTCTAGCTCAAGGGCAATTCCTGCTATTTTCAAAAACATGCAGCCTTGCTGTGACAACTGGATAACTAAACACACACAAAACATGGAGTTGGACCCCCACATTACACCACATACAAAACTCAACTTAAAATGGATCAAGAACCTAAATACAAGAACTAAAATCATAAAGCTTTTAGTAGAAAACATAGGGGTAAATCTTCATGACTTTGCATTTAGCAATGGATTCTCAGATATGACACTAAAAGCACCGGTAACAAAAGAAAAATAAACTGGACTTCATCAAAACTAAAAACTCTTTTGCATCAAAAGACATTATCAAGAAAGTGAAAGACAATCTATAGAATGGGAGGAAATATTTGCAAATCATGTATTTGATACAGGTCTGGTATCCAGAATATATATGGAACTCTTACAACTCAACAACAAAGATGAACAATCCAATTAAAACTGGGCAAAGGATCTGAATAGACACTTCTCCAAAAATAGACAAATGGCCAACAGGCATGTGAAAGGATACTCAACATCATTAGTCATTAGGAAAATACAAATCAAAATCACCATGAGATTCCACCTCTCACCCACTAGGATGGCTGTAATCAAAACCCAGAAAATAACATGCCTAGGAGAGAATGCAGAGAAATGGAAGCTTCATGCACTGCTGGTGGGAATGTCAAATGACTCAGCCACCATAGAAAACAGTTTGGTGGTTCCTCAACAAGCTAGACATAGAATTACCACACTACCCAGCAGTTCCACTCCTAGGCATGTATCACCCCCACAAACTGAAAACTAGTACTCAAATTCCTATACATGAATATTTACAGCAGCATTATTCACAGTGTCAATGGGTGGAAACAACCCAAATGTTTACCAGCAGATGAGTTTGAAAAACAAACCATGGTCTATCCACACTCAGTCACAAAAAGGAATGATGTTGTACTGACAAATGATACAACATGGATGAACCTTGAAAACATGCTTCATGAAAGAAGCCAGGCACAAAAGGCCACATACTGTATGATTCTATTTATATAAAATGTCTAGAATAGGGGGAAGGTGTAGCTCAATGGCAGAGTGCATGCTTAGCACACACAAGATCTTGGGTTCAGTCCCCAGTACTGCCGTATAAACAAACATATAAATAAACCTAATTGTCTCCCCTCCCCCCAAATTAAAAAAAAAAAGTCTAGAATACATAAACCCCCAGAGACAGAACACAGACTGCTGGTTGCCAGAGTCTGGAGAAAGGGAATGGGGAGCAACTGCTTAATAGGTACAAGGCTTCCTTTTAGGGTGATGACAATGTTTTGGAACTAGATACTGCACAGTACCATGAATGTACCAAATATCACTGCATTGTATAATTTAAAATGGTTAATTTTATGTTGCATGATTTCACTTCAATTAAAAAAAGAGGAAAGAAAAGCAACCCACCCAGCCCATTTGAGGACCCATGCTCTGGCTCCTCCTCTGCCTGGAGTGTTCTCCCTCTGAGCTCTGCCTGGCTTGTCCCCACTATGTTTAGGTCCCTGCTCAGAAGGCATCTCCTAGAGATCGTCCCTGACCCCCTATTTACAATGTCACTGCTTCCCCTCCCTTCACCCACAACAGCAAATTCTCGCTCACATGTCTAGGCCACGCTTGACAGCTACCTCTAACCCTTGGTCGGACTAGCCACTTCCTTGTCTTGTCCCTGTGGCCCTTCACAGGGCCAGAGTCTGTCTGCTTGGCGAGGCTACAGGTGCTCAAGGATGGAACAGGTCTGTGTTCCCCAAAGCCCCTGGCCCTGCGCCCCACTCTCCGGCACCAGGCAGGTGCTTGGTGACAGCCTGCTGCTTTACGTGAAGGTGGCTGCTCCTGCAGAAGGAAACACTGTGCTGCCAGGCAAGAGGCTGTTCCAGTTCCCTCGGACAAAGGCACTCTTTCCCTCTAGAGACAGAAGTGTGGCTACAATGTTAACCACCCTGGTTCCCTGCCCGGAGGCTGGGAGGAGCCGCGACTCCTGGGAAACCCGAGCCTCACCTGGAGCTCCCAGAAGATGCTGCGTGTGTGGCGGTGGTAGTAGTGTCTCAGGGGGACGTACTCCAGGCCCTCTCGGTGCGTCTTCAGGTAGTTCTCCACGTGCTTGAAGAACCACGGCTTGTAGTAGTTGCCAATGCTATTCAGCTGAAATGACAGAGGGCACTGTGTCAGGCCACAGACAAGCACCAGATGCCACCAGGGCGTAACAGTGATACCCAGCTTCTGTTCAGCATGTCTGGCCCTTCCAGAGCTCTTTCCGCTGTCTGTTATCACCTTTGAGGCTCTTGAAAGCCTGGTGAGGTGAAGCACAGAGGATACTCTCTTGCAGAGAGAGCAGAGGCTCAAGGAGGTTAAGTGGTGTGCCCAGGGCCCAATAGCTAGCTTTTGACAGTCTCGAGAGCTTAGCTCACGGTCCTTCTCAGCCAGAGAACGGAAGTGCCAGTGTTTAGCAGGGACGGCCACAAGACAGTGCTCTGCCCAGACGTGCCCTTCCCTGCTCCCTCCCATGAGGCCGGTGTTGGCAT